TGAATGCAATTACGAATAGCTTCACCATCCAACGACAAGTGAAAGTGTGGAATACCCATTGCGAGGGTGACATCGTGGACGCATGATAATCCCGAAAGGAAGTTTGAAGCTTGTAAGTTTTATAATCCCGAAACTAATCAAAGGGGTTGTAAATAGTTTCATTGGGTGGATGAAGGAATAGTTGACTGGCAACAGGATATTACTAATCAACTCATTTCTTAAAATCATATCTTAAGGGTGAGGTTGATGTATTGAAGAACAGAGTATGCTTCCTTGAAGCTGAGAAGAAGAGGAAATGGATGAAGCAGAGCACATGAAACTGAAGTGGAAGAAGAAGAATACTGGTCAATTTAGTGTTGTAGGAAATTTGTCTTTGATTGTTTTTGTATATGTTGTAGTGAGTTTCCTTATGGTGAAACTGGTCAATTTAGTGTTGTAGGAAATTTGTCTTTGATTGTTTTTGTATATGTTGTAGTGAGTTTCCTTATGGTGAAACTCTTAAGTTAGGTTGTTCCGGCCTCTGTTTTCTTGGTGTTATGGTATTGAGCAGCCTAAGATGTTAGCTAGAGTGTTTAGGGTTGCATTATGCACTTTATGTTGGAATGTTTTCTTCTAATGATTAATTCCAAATTAGATATCTGTGTTGTGGTAAATATATCATCACACTGGAAATTTAGAAAGTAAATCATGAGATTTAAACCATTGATGAACACTCCAAAATAATCATCCAAGTTTGAACAAAATATTGGATCTTACATGTAATCCAAATTTGAACAAAAGACATGACATGTTCCAAAAGAAAATGTTTTGCAAGACTTGGTGCCAATTACAGAATCTAAGTAATACATAATGCATCATGGTTTTGCTTTTGTGCTTGTTTGGTATGAAAGCACTTCAACCATACTCTTATGCTTCTTTGGCTTTGGAATCCCTTTTGGTGCAGCTGAATTTCTTGGTGCAGTTGATGTAGTTGTTGCAGTAGTTGCTGATCTTGGAGGCACTGACTTCCTTGATGCAACTGATGTAGATGGTGCAGCTATAACAATAGTTGTAGTAGCTATAGACTTTCTCTTTTAAGTTGCAGTGGGTTGTACTTGAGCAACAGAATTGGTCAGAGTTGTGAAAGTACCAGAAGTAGATGCAGAATCTTGACCAGCAGTAGCTTGAGGCTGGGAATGAACTGTGGCAGGTGGTGGATTCTTTCTTGGCCTACCACCCTTGGGCAAAATTGTTGGTGGCTTGGGTGGATTCTTACATTTGTTTGCATAGTGCTCTTCCTGACCACATTTGCTACACTTATTCTTCTTTCTATCTCTCATAACAAGGTCCTGTTCTTGTACCTCTCCTTGCTCTTTTACCCAGTTCTTCAATTTAGGTCTACTGAGGGCTGGAGGAAATGGTTGAGGTAGATTGACAATAGGCCACTAATGTTTCCAAGGCATAGCATGGAATGCAGGTGCATAAGTCCTTGCATAGGTAGACACATGATATGCTTCATGCACATAATCTTCTACATTCTATCTCTGCCTATAAATGCATGCATATGCATGATAACAAGGTATACCTAACAATTCCCACCTATAACAACCACACTTTCTCTCAGCCAAGTTCACAACATAAGTTTCACCAGTTGTGAAGTGATCAACTTCAAACTCCCAAACATCAACCTGACTCACATCACAGTTCTTCACTTCCTCACTCGTTATATCTAGCATCTTCATAACACTAGGCATAATCTTACCATGTAATTGCTGCAACCCCTCTCTTTTCATAGAACACCTTCTTATCATCACATACCTTCTTATCCATTCCAACATAGTTAAGATAGGTTTTGATCTTGCCTCCCTAATGACACTATTAAAACTCTCACAGCAATTATTCAATAGCATCCCAGACTTTGACCTAGAACTGAAAGCATGTCTAGACCATGTATGTGCAGGTATTTCATTCAAATACTTAAATGCGTCATGTGATAGGAGCTTAATTGATTCCATTTGAAAATCAAAATGCCACTGAAAAAGCAACCACAACAACATAAACATCACATCATAACTAAATACATAGTTCAAAACATGCAACTTTAATGCAAGCAACTGGTATACCTTTGTAGATGATCTGGCTGCTTTCCAGAAGCATTCTTTGAACAATTCTCCAGGAAATTTCTTATTAAAGTTTGCCCAGATGTGCCTGCAGCAGAATCTAATCTTTGCATTTGGCACCACCTTGTTGAAAGCATCAAGTAAACCCTAAGCATGGTATTTATACAATTAATTAAGAAGTTAGTTTAGAAGGTCAAAGTTCACTTACTAAAAGCAAAACTTTAAAAAAACATTAAAAGAGAAAAGAACTACCTTTTGTCTATCAGACATGTAGCTCACTACCTAACAAAATATCTTTCCTATCAGCCTCACTTTCTTGTTCTGCCTGACCTGAAATCTTCACCAATGTCCCTCCTAAACTCGTGTTTACCAACTCATCTAAGCCCTCATTAACATTATCAGCAAATATATCATCATCATAATCTGCCTCACTTAATAGCACATCAGAATCATCCTCATCAGTATCCTCAAGCACTACATCCTCTTTTGTATGGTGTGCACAACAGATAGTTCCCCCCATTTTTTTGAACTGCAAGAGGTTTTAGATCTGGCTCTTGTTTTAGTTAAGCTTGGTGTCTTTTTTGGATAGTGTTAAAATTGAAGTATAAGAAAGAGGCAGCTTAGAAGGGGTATTGTGGTTATCTAGTTCAGATCTAGGATTTTCAGGACTATTTGGTGGGCCCCCATATTTGGTGAGTCAATGTTATGCATGAGATTCCCATGTCCCCACTTTCCACCTCACCCTGCACTCCTAAGTCATCCATCTCACTGTCAATCCTTACCTCATCAGCCCCCTCAGAATTGTTAGTATGGGTAGCATATAAATTATACCAACCATCAGGCTCAGAGGAATCCAAAAAGTCAGGGATATCTCTATCACTTTTTATCTCATTCCTCCTATTGTACAAAGTACACCCTCTCATTCTAAACCACAATTATCCTACAGTTGCATACTTCAGCTTGTTTTTAATCCAATAAGCAAATTCAAAATAACAAACTTCATAAACATGAGGATGCAAAGCAAGACATAGTAATTGTCCTCCCCCTTTTCATAACTAGTTTTCTTACTCCTTTTCTTAGTGACAAACACACCCCCATAATACAACCTAATGTTAATTGGACCTTCCATCAGTCTATAGCAAGGATAGAATATATTATCTCAACCGTTAAACCTGTTGCAATTAAAGAAATATTCCTACTTTAAACCAGATTTCAGCAAAAAAAATTGACATACAACCACACTATAAGTCATCTTCCCCATGCAACTAAATAGTTAATTAGACAACCATACATAACATTAAACTAATGCTACACAAACCCCCAACATTAAACAAGTATAAAAATTGCACCAGCCCTATTTCCAATTAAATACATGATCAAATTCAAAATAAAGTCAAAACCATACCTGGGTTTTTGAATTAATTGCCATCTGGTCCCCTCACGTTTGCGTTTACCAGTAATTAACCATTGAAAACGAAAGAAAGGTACAAAATTTGTTAGATCTTGAAAGAGATGAACAGTGCGTATTTTTTACTTGAAATGAAAAAACAAAGTTCAAACTTACCGAAACAGGTTAGTTGAATTCACCGTTAATTTTTCTCAGAGCTTCTGCAATTTAGGTCTAATCAGTGTAGTTGGGCAATTTGTAATGAGGAGAGAGAAGAATAAATGAAGAACAATAAGTTTTCGAAGGAACAGGAGGGAGAATTTGGGGGAAAAGGGGGAAAATTTTTGTCATTAAGGGTCATTTGACCGTCACGTGACTATATCAACGCCGGAAAAATAAAGTCAAATTTGACTTTCCGGTGGGTGGTAGTCAATTACAATATTTTGTGTTTTATAAGGTAGTTAATTACAACATTTCGTTTTCGTGCTAGTTTACCAGTAATTAACCATTGAAAACGAAAGAAAGTCAAAACCACCTCCACGTTCGCGTTTACCAGTAATTAACCATTGAAAACGAAAGAAAGGTACAAAATTTGTTAGATCTTGAAAGAGATGAACAGTGCGTATTTTTTACTTGAAATGAAAAAACAAAGTTCAAACTTACCGAAACAGGTTAGTTGAATTCACCGTTAATTTTTCTCAGAGCTTCTGCAATTTAGGTCTAATCAGTGTAGTTGGGCAATTTGTAATGAGGAGAGAGAAGAATAAATGAAGAACAATAAGTTTTCGAAGGAACAGGAGGGAGAATTTGGGGGAAAAGGGGGAAAATTTTTGTCATTAAGGGTCATTTGACCGTCACGTGACTATATCAACGCCGGAAAAATAAAGTCAAATTTGACTTTCCGGTGGGTGGTAGTCAATTACAATATTTTGTGTTTTATAAGGTAGTTAATTACAACATTTCGTTTTCGTGCTAGTTTACCAGTAATTAACCATTGAAAACGAAAGAAAGTCAAAACCACCTCCACGTTCGCGTTTACCAATAATTAACCATTGAAAACGAAAGAAAGGTACAAAATTTGTTAGATCTTGAAAGAGATGAACAGTGCGTATTTTTTACTTGAAATGAAAAAACAAAGTTCAAACTTACCGAAACAGGTTAGTTGAATTCACCGTTAATTTTTCTCAGAGCTTCTGCAATTTAGGTCTAATCAGTGTAGTTGGGCAATTTGTAATGAGGAGAGAGAAGAATAAATGAAGAACAATAAGTTTTCGAAGGAACAGGAGGGAGAATTTGGGGGAAAAGGGGGAAAATTTTTGTCATTAAGGGTCATTTGACCGTCACGTGACTATATCAACGCCGGAAAAATAAAGTCAAATTTGACTTTCCGGTGGGTGGTAGTCAATTACAATATTTTGTGTTTTATAAGGTAGTTAATTACAACATTTCGTTTTCGTGCTAGTTTCTCGCAAAAAATGGATTATAAAAGGTAGTTATTTACAAATAATCCTATATATAATGCAATCAATGACCATGCAATATTAATATTAGTTTTTAATAACCGGAGTAATATCTTGGTTACATTTAGGGATTTCTATAGTAGATTGCTAATTAAAAGCAATTATATAATAGGTAGTGCCAATACTATACTGACTTTACAGTTATTGGACTACTTACATAATGCATACCATCTAACCAAGTTAATCTTCCAAATACATAATCCTTGGATGCCTTCCCCTTCTTCGCCTTAATGTTAATTTGGAAGCTTTTCTCTTGACCTATGCTAGTGAACTCCAAGACAGAAGGATGGACTGAAATCGCGATCTCTCTCGGGCTTTGAACATGAGCTATGTACTTCCCTGGAGAACCAACATTCTTCAAGGTTCTAGTCACAGTGGTTGATTTTCTGAGATTAGGAATTGTGATTGAAGGGTAGTTCAGATTAAGAATACTAAAATTTTTAGGGCAAACATAAGGGCTTGCATTAAATAATGAAATGGATGTCTCATTATAACCAATTGCACACAGAAAATTCAGGTAGTCATTGATGTTCATGTCGTAAACCAATCCTGGATCCATAGCTGGATTAGGTTGAACATGCCCGGCTCCATAGTGTAGCGGGCTTGCTTGTAACTTGGACGCGTTTGTTATGGGTTCGTACACATTGTCTATTATGCTAGCTGCAATTACAACAAATGAAACAAACCATTTAAGTAATTTGGATGTAGAATGTATCAATTCGCTAACCTTAATTTTCAAAATAATCGCAGCACATAATAATTGCAACATTTTCTATGCAAAGGTTACTATTGCAATTATTTTGGAACGGAGGAAGTATAACAGTATACCCTGGTCTTGAAAGAGTGTAAAGTTATTAAATTAATCAAGTAAGGTCGAGTTTTGGAAAAGCGACATGTAGTAGTTTACCTGTGGTCATGATAGCTGATTTAATTGTTGCAGGGCTCCAATGTGGATAAATGGTTTTAAGAAGACCAACAACACCTGAAATATGTGGGCATGACATAGAAGTGCCTGATATGGAGTTAAACTGAACTCGACGTTTGTCAAACACTTGATTTGTTGGTCCTTGTGCTTCAGTATAGGCTGCTATCACACTGACTCCTGGTGCTGTTATATCAGGCTGAAAAAGCAAGTGTAAAAAAAAACATGATCATTATATTGAAGTATATAGATACACTCCAAAGTTGGAAATTTAATTATTTGTTGGTTATGAAATGAAATGTTATTATAATGAACCTTAAGAATCTCCGGTGTAACTGTATTTGGTCCTTTTGATGAAAATGCTGCCATAAATGGTGACGGTTTTATTCCTAACCTTGTTGATGTTTGTGTAATGGAAGCCTTCGCAGACCTATCAATGAAAAAATAACAAAAGTTAATTTCAATGAAACAAAAGTCTTCAATATTTTCTTAGGACATGTTCATGTTGTTTGTTCAAAAATAAAATGATTAGTGTATGTATATTAATAACATGAATAGTATATATAGCCAACTGAGCCCTTACTTTGTTGATTTGATATAGTCGTAAACATGGACACCGTCTCTATAATTGATATGAGAAGCAGGAAGAACGTGAGGATCAACAATTATTTCATTAGCAGTATCCTGATCATTAGCAAGGACCATACCAACGCCCCCAACTAATGCGACTTGTTGCCCTTTGTCTACTCTTGCGTTATCTCCTCTTAGGCAAACGACGATTTTACCTCTTGCCTTGTTAGGATCCATGGTTCCGTATTTGCATAATTGTCTACATCATAAAGACCGTAAAGTTTTCATTAAGAAAATAAGTATAGTTTTTTTTTTTTTTTTTGAAAGAAGAAAATAAGTATAGTAGAATTGAATAAAAAAAAAAACCTAGAGGAAAATGGATGTAACATGTTTATGGTTCTTACGCTTCTTCAATAGATGCATTTGCTGCTTTGACTTGAGCTGCACTCACTAGGGGATAGTACTTGCCAACTTGTAATGATTTTGGTGCCAAGCTTTGTCCCTTTAGTACAAAGATTCAAATTTAATTAATCAAGTTTTTATATTATTATATATGTAATATATTATATAAACAATACTATATGAAATATAAACTTAACACTAAAATTGTAATTTCTAATAAATTTATTTTCTTGCTTTAGAAAGAACTTTTTTGTTTTCACAAATTTATGAGCAAAGAAAATTTTCTATTGGAGTTTGGAGTGCCTAATTGGAGTTCATACATGACCAGCATTCCTGATTTAATGATAATTGAGCGAGTTAAGACTAAGCTGAGTAGCACATGTATTCATCTTGTTAAATATTATTCAAACTCGAGTCACATGTTATTATCAAGCTTATAAGTTTTCAAAATGGGGAATTCCAAGTTAATCTTCATGATTGACAAACTTTGTCAATCTAAGGGCATTTATGGTATTTCAACCGATTAAGTTGAGGATATGATTGTAAAATCCGCATGCTCAGTTGGATTACTTCCCTTGACTAAGCATACACGTAATCAAAGGCTCGCATATTTGGACTTCATGGGTTATAACATCCGTTAAATGGCATTAGTCAACGATAGTTTGAAAAAATTACATGTTGCAATATTGTTTCAGTATTGGGCACACATATGGCAGAATTTGATTTGGGACAAATGAGGCATCTGATTTAATGAAAAAAACTATTAAGTAAAATTGTAATATTACTTTGTTGATAAATTTGTTAGAAAAGTACTTATATGTTCACTTTTTTTGTGAAGAAGGACTTTATATGTTCAAAGTGGTGAACAAAGGCCTTATAAGTCACTTTTGTTGTGAGGAGGGACCTTGACATCGGAATATAGCCATTGACTTTTACTTTTTCGGTGTTGATCATCACTTACGTGACACGTGATGTTTTGAAAAGGCCATTTTTGTTCATTTTTTCCCCATGTTTTCAAATTTTTTGTCTTACTATCCCCAAATTTTCTCTCGAAATCTCTTCTCTTTCCTTAAAATCAAGAGAAAAAAAGAAGGAAAAGACATTTTTAAAACATCACGCGCATATTACATGATGGTCAATGCCGGAAAAGTGAAGTCAGCGTTTGTTCTACACAAATAATTTAATTTATCACAATATTCATAATTGAGATTAAAATTGTAAATTGCAAAATTGAAAAAAAAAAAAAAAAAGATGGAGTTAAACATAGAGAAAATAAACCTTTTTGTGACAAATTCAATGAAAGTATGAAACTGAACAATACAAAATTTGGCCAAATTGTCTTATAAAATCATGAAATCAACTCAATTGCGGTGTAATTCAAATAGAGAAATACTTTGTAGATAGGAAGGAAATCAACTCAATTGCGGTGTAACTGTGTAATTAAGGATGTATAATTCAAATAAATTAGAAAATTTGGAATCAAAATAAATTTTAGACATAAAAAATGGGGAATAGGAAGATAATTTCTAATTTATAAATTATAATGATTATCATTTGGGATGAGAGTTGGAAACTGAAATTTTCAGTAACTATTATGGGAGGCTCTATCAAGATTCATAATAAGCGTTGTAAGAGTACATTTATCCAAGGGAATAGGAAAGTGTATGATGAAAGCATGAATGAAAATGTTTCATTCAAAGTAATATAAAAATATGTAACTAAAAATGGACATTAGGGAAATGCCACATGCCACTTAATATGATTTGCAAAAGTTCCTTTTTTTTTAAAATATTAGTATAGATATAGGCCATGTTTGGTAATTGGCTTTTCAATGGCTTTTTGGTTAGCTTTTGGCTTTTTAAGGTGGTCAAACAGCCAAAAAATGTGTTTGGTAATTGGCTTTTTAGTCAGCGAAAAAGCTGGCTTTTAAGCCAAAATGAAAAAACTGCTTTGAGTAGCTTTTTTGTTGGCTTTTGGCTTGTTGGCCCACAAATTATCTAATAAACAGCCAACAACCACCAATTAATTTACCAAACACTTTTATAAACAGCCAACTTAAACAACCAATTTCAAAAGCCATTATAAACAGCCAAACATTCCAGCTGGTCAAACAAGCCAAGTGAACCAGCCAACCGCCAACAGCCATTTTCCAAACAAGGCCATAGTCTTTGTGATTTTTTTTTTAACGAACATTATAAAAGCTACTTCCTTCGTTTTTTAATAGTTGTAACACATGAAAAGTGGGGTTCACATAGTGTAATACACTTTAAAATGGGATGAGAGGTTTTTTAGAATATAATTTAGTAGGCCTTGTTTTTTTTTTTTTGGTGTATCATCCGGTTCACCATTTGGGCTAATGCGGATTCAGGAATCCAGTCCGTATATTAATAAAAAAATCAGTTGGTACCATATGTTAATAAGTGTTACTTTCGCCGTATTTTAATGAAGGTTACACTTACCATTTTATAGCTATCAAAAAACCGACCCGAACTGGTGAATCTGAGTCGTTCCGAACTATTCCAAAAAGGAACCGAATTGCTAAGAACCTGTTATTTTAAAACCGTAAACCGACCCGACCTGATTTTTTAAACCTAAAACGGAACCAATCCGAATGTTTGAGAACCGTCACTAAATCGTACCCGTTATCAAGCCAAACGATACAACCCGAAATGAGAACAACCTGAACCGAAGTACTTTTGAAACCGATAGCAACCCGACTCATTGTAAACCAAAACCGTTTAAACCCGACAAAAACCCGATAAATCCAATTCATTTACAACCCGTAACTGGTTAGGATCGAACCGTTTATAACTCGTAATTAGTTATGAACGAACGGCTTACAACCCGTAACCGGCTATGACCGAACCGTTTATAATTAATCCGTAAGTCCGTAACCCTTTATGAGTGAAAAGTATGAGAGAGAAAGTGTTTTGACTAAAGCGGTACGGATGAGTGTAAGGAATGAGATATGAAGACTGTAGGGCTTGAATTTGGATTATTGGGCCAATTTTGATTAGGTTTTAGTGGATTTAGGGAGATGAATGAGAGGCAATGGATTAAAGATAGGTTTAATCAACGTTTGTGAGAGTATTTTCTTGAGGGGTTTAGATTGTGATCCGTGTTTTAACTGAGCGACCAAAGAAAATTATAGCTTAATAGTTAATAATTAATAGTCAAATTATAATTTATAAACAACTTGTAATAAAGAAATCATAACTAAGTAATTACAATTTATTGGTAATTTGCTAGTTAAAACAAAATATAAATTTAAGTAAACAACTAATAAAGTGATAATTATTACTATAACGTGTTTGTGACCTGACCAATTACAAGTTTACAACTCGACTCGTTCTAATTGATTACTTGATCAATGTAACTTGCTTAAGCTTTTATATTTATGACATGAACTGATTTTGCCCAATTTTTTTTGAACCAAATTCGTTTTAAAATCGACCGAGTTCTATCGGAATCGATTATGATTTGAACCGATTACAACCCAACCCTGTTAGGATCTGATGTATTTTAACCTAAAACTAGTTATAACTTATAAACTGGCAAAACCCGTTTTCAAACTGATTGAGTTCCACTCAGACTGATTACGATTTGAACCGATTACAACCCGACCCGATTAGGACCCGCTATGTTTTGACCCAAAACCCGCCTTAAACTGACAAAACTTGTTTTTAAACCTATCGAGTTCAACCCGAACCGATTATGACCCAAACCAATTACAACCCAACCCGATTAGAATCCAACCCGAAAAGAAACAGTAGTAAAAAATATACCAAACCGAATCGATCCAGATTTATTTAAAACCGACCCAAACTAACCCGATAATAATTCCAACCCGTTATAATCCGATCCGTTACAAACTGAAAACCGATAAACCGAAACCAAAACTAAACCATAAAACCGATTGACACCCTTACTTACCAAATGCGTATGTGTTTTAATAAGATTTACAAATTTTATTTTATTTTATTTTTTTCAAAAAACTATATTTTAATGTTATATATCAATATCCTCTCATGGTCTTCACCAATACCAACTAATACATTTTAAACTGATTCGTCTCTCTCACATTCAATTATTTTCTACAAATTATTATCCGATTTTTTTTATATACAATTTTTTAGTACTCTAGCTATCCTACTCCCCACCCCCCCCCCCCCTTCCCCTCCCCTCCCCTCCCCTTTTTTTTGAAACAATGTCAGCTAGGCATTATTATTAAAACTAAATCAAATCAAATTTCGCCAAAGTTATGAAACTTTGAGGGAAATTGTCCAACCATACACAAGTCGACTCACTTACACTATATCTTGGAAGTTGGAACTAAAGAAACTAAAATTATCTTCTCTTCCACAAAATTAAAGGATAAACTACTACAAAGTATAAAATATTAGACTTTTGAAAGTAATTTTGATTGGTTTTAAAAAAAAAAAAAAGTAATAAATTTTGATTGAGGTAGATAAAATATCAGACTTGGTAGGAAAAAAAAAAATAAGAGTCAAAGCTATCTTTGAATGGTCTATAAAGTATAAACAACCACCTAACTACAATAAATGCTAAATTAATACTTTGTATTCATCTTCCATTGTAAACTAAAAGCCCACTAAGCACTAACGGCTACGATGCTAGCGTCGTTTCATGATAGTTTGCCCAGGTGTAGCTATTAACTTGTGACTAGGATGCTTACTCGTTATGAGCATACTCCAGATTCTGACATGGCAGGAAAGATTGATAAAGTTTGTTAATCATGAGGATTAACTGGGCAGCCCCCTTTCAAAATATCATAACTTAAAACACAACTTGATTTCACAAGTTACAACTTATATTTGTGCTAATTTTTTCAAACATTAAATTAGCTTGTCACCAATATTGTTTATTTTACTCTGTATTAATTTAAATTAGAGAATACTTTGTATAATATCGACATTGAATCAAGCAGAATAAATAATCTCATAGTTCACAAACCATCTATTCTCATTAGCCCCCCTACTTCAAATACTACGCAAAAGAATAAAGATAGAAATTTAACCTCGAAATGTCGACCATTGCCGAGTAATATCCAATTAGAGAACTCTCGATCCATAGTACTAGCCCCAACTGTGAAAATCCAAGGAGAAACATTCACAACAGTACCATCAGTTGGCCCAGAATTTCCAGCAGAACACACTACATCAATGTTCTTCTTGACAGCATGAAACGAACCAATGGACAAACTGTCATTGAAATAAGGAGTAGGAGTCCCTCCAAGTGATGCAGAGATAACATCGACGCCATCGGCTATGGCTGCATCAAAGGCAGCCAAGATATCCGCATCATAACACTCACTGCCATTAATTGGCGGCCAACAAACTTTGTAGGCCGCCACTCGAGCTCGAGGGGAGCCGCCTTTGGCTACTCCCTTTCCGAACCCGAATACACTGGCATCTTTTACGAATGATCCTCCGGCCGTGGATAGGGTGTGGGTGCCATGTCCATCGTAGTCTCGTGGACTGTTGATTTCTGTTGTGTTGGTGGTGTTGCTTGTTGATAAAGCTGTTAAGTACCCTTTGTTGTAGTATCTTGCTCCAATTAACTTCCTGTATTAAGTCATTAATTTAAGTTATTATCTCATTTATACTTGCATAATCATTGTATGTTTTGTGCATTTTTGTGGTCTTAAATACACTATATTCTAAGCTTCATCTAGATATATAAAATGGTAATGCATTTCCTAAATGACTAAGAGTATGTTTTCATTGACTGAACTGAGCTGAATTGAACTGAGCTGAGCTGAATTGAACTGAACTTATTAGAGCTGAACTGAACTGAACTGAACTTATTAGAGCTAAACTGAACTGAATTGAACTGAACTTATTAGAGATGAACTGAACTGAATATTTTATAAGAGAAGGAAATTAGGAGCTTAACTGAACTAAAATAAAGTGAACTGAACTGGACTTATTAGAGTTGAGCTGAACTGAACTAAACTTATTAGAGCTGAACTGCTGAACTGAACTGAACTTATAATTAGAGCTGAAATGAACTGAACTGAAAATAATCGTATCAGAACATGCCCTAAGCTTATTGTTCCAATATGAATTGATGCACTACCCAAAACTCATTTTCATTACTCGATCTTTAAGGTTGTTAATTATGAAACCCAAAGCTAACTCAACGCTAAAGAAACATTATAATAAGTTAATAACCTCACCTAGAATTTGTTTTTTATCTTTTTATTTGCACAACCAATATTTAAAAAAATTAACTTTGACAACCGCGTGTGAAGTAAGGATTAGTTAACGTTGCCCATCCCACATTGAAGAATTAAGATATCAAATATGACTAATAAGAAATGTATAATATTGATGGGCAATTGATTTTAGAATAAAAGTCTACTAAACTTATATGTGGTCAGACTCTTCTTGCAAAAGCTTATAGGCATTACACATCAAAACACTACTACCTCAAACACACAAGCGTGGTAGCCACTGTGAAGATGTTCTGACCACTAGATAATGCATAATATTGATGGGCAATTGACTTTAGAATAAAAATTTACTAAACTTGTATGTAGTCAGACTCTTCTTACAAGAGCTTATTATAGGCGTTATACAGCAAAACACTACTACTATACCTCGAACACCGGAACACGCAAGCGTGGTAGCCACTATAAAGGTGTTCTGACCACTAGGTCTAGTGGGCTGGACCAAAGCCTCCATTATTATCTGCACCTTACTTTACTTTGGCATGGTACGATGTGGGCGTGCGGGTTGGTTGACACTTGAAATAAAATCGATGATATTCGATCATATTACCAATGGTGTGACCACGTAAAAGAATCATTTTGATGCCATTCTAATCATCTACCTAACTTTCAAACCAATACTATTCCTTGTTACATACTTTTCCCTTTTGTTTTCCACCTTTGAGAGTTTGAGAGATAGGACTTACGACATAGGTTAGATAATTACATTCATTATTTATCGTCAAATTCATTACTAGGTTTACTTGGTCCATTAATAGATAATTGCCATTTGCCAACATTGTTGGAAGTTGGAACTATGACATTATTACAATTGATAATTTGATATGTGAATATTAATATAATTAATATTCCGTATTTAGAAATTTAAATTGAGGCTACATATAATTTAACGCATAAAATTTTTTATGCATAGAAATTAAAGCAAACTATTTCCTCCGATTCTTTTTTCTTCACACATTATTATATGTGGCTAACCACACCGTGTGGCCAGCCATTATAGGGATTACTTCATAATTGTCATAGGGGTTATTTCGTCAGTGTTACAGGGTTTACTCGGTTAGTATTACAGGGGTTACTTGTCATTCAGTGTTATAGTGGTTACTTAGTTCTTTTATAAATAGTCACATAGTGTGATCAGCCACACACACAAGACAATTTTTTTTTTAATTCTTTGGTACTACTGTTAAGTTGATAGAATCTTTTGAATTACGAGTATAATAATTCATATATCATAATAAAAAAGTATATATATATATATATATATATATAAAGTATTCCCTCCGTCCCTAAATTACATTCTTGTTTCTAACATTAATAGAGGAATAAATGCTAGAAACAGGAATGTAATTTAGGGATGGAGGGAGTACTCCGTAAGTTTTTAAAGCATAACATTTATTTTGAAACGGAAAATAAATTGAATGTTTTCAAATTATCTAAAATCTATGTGAGTAAATGAGACTACTTGAGATTACTTAGTCAGCAAATTAGTTGGAGGTATTATACTATGTATACTCGAGAAAGTAACAGTTAGATAGTTATGGCAAATAATTTTAAAAACAGAATGCTAGTTTGTAGATGGGGAGATAAAAATGGACCTATTGCAATGGACTCCACCAAGATTGTTGTGACTTTGGCATATTCCTTTCCACCGCGCCGGAATAGGTCCAATTCCTTCATCTCCAAAACTCTTTGATTCTGGCCACACCCCTGATTGTGACATACATTTATATTAATTAAGGTTTAGAAAAGTACAAGTAACAAACTAACAAATGAAAATATATATATTGGAGTTGGATGTTGATATTTTGTTTTTAGAGAGCCTTTTTTATATATATCTACTAAATGAATATTACTTTTTATGATTTTACTGAATTAATTTATTTATTTAAATTCAATTACACGTATAAATTTTAATTTCCTCCATTTAACTTATTATCATAACCTGAGTAGAACTCCCCAAAATTACATACCCGCTTTAAATCCACCCGACCCTAATGCAAATGCTCAATAGCCACGTCTAATCTAAAAAATTATAGAATAATACGAGTAATATTTGTAATATCTTCCTATCATATTAATATAATATACTATGTATCTAATAATTTTTTTATTTTATTTTAATGACACTTAATGCATGGCTTGTTTGATATGTAAGGAGGTGTAAGGAGATCATATGGGGGACATCAATTGACTCATTTGCCTATATTTTAAAATCCACATGTCATAGAATATGAAGAAAGAGTGTGAGATTAATAAAGTTAATGAAAAGGCCCATACTGTATGGGTCAAGTGGATAAAATTTCAATTTTAAGTAACATTAATGTTTAATCTTTAATGTGATGAATTGTCATAAAAGTGAATACATTTCCTTCGAAAAAATTGAATATATGAAAATTGTTTTATATAGAGGGAATTTGCAATTATAAGAAAAAAAAAATTAATACATAAATTGAGACAATATAATAAGATCAAATGTGAGTACATGATTATAATTTTTAAAACAATTGTCAAGGCAAAGTTTGAGAACAGTGACAAGTGCATGTTTTGGTTCACACTATATGATCCATTCATTAACCTTCAACAATAAAGTACTTCATTGAGATTGACATACCCAAAAAAATGTTATTTTTAAGTTTTAACCCTTTGGTATCTCTTCTTTAGGGACCTAAGCAATATATATGGTCCTCTTCAGCCCCTCCTTTTAATTAATATTAAAAAAAAAAAAAATTATGATCCTCTCTCCTTTTCAAATGGTCATATTATGGCGACAAAATGTAGAGGAGTGGCTCTTTGCATGCACGCCAATATTGACGACACACATGTGCTTTGATGCCTTCATTCTCAAACAAAATAAGACTATTCATTGGTCATCAATCCAATCTTGCATGACTAAAATTTTCTAATTACAGTACTTTGTTGATTATGGGTTTCATAAACCATGATTACCCTACAGCCCTACTTGTGTGATCAAACCTTTCTGCATGGCAGCTACATACTAACGCAAAACACATTTTACGTTTACTATGGTATTTCCTTTTTCTTAATTTATCAAGGAAATTTTGTGAAAAACTACCTATTATAATTCAGAATTTACGAGAAACTACTTATTAAAAAAAATATTGTAATTGACTACCTAATTTTTTAAAAATGTTGTAATTTACTACCTTTATGCCGGATTATGAATGAGTTTGACCAAAATTCTCAGGCGTTGACTTGGTCACGTGACACTTGGTGAAAGAAAAGGGTCATTAAGCATCACGTGATTGTCACGTGACCAAGTCAACACCGGAGAACTTTGGTCAAATGCCTTCATAATCCGACGTAAGGTAGTAAATTACAACATTTTTCGAAAATTAGGTAGTCAATTACAACATTTTTTTTAATAGGTAGTTTCTCGCAAATTCTGGACTATAATAGGTAGTTTTTCACAAAATTTCCATTTATCAATAATATTTTACACTATATCCAACACATTTTTGACTAGTTATATCTGAAATTGCGTAAATTATAAAATTTTGATATTTGATTATTACACATTAAAATCATCGAATAAGATCTTACATAATATTTTTTTATATTTGTATGTGAGTAAAATACACATTCAAATTTTTTAAGTTTAACTCTATGAAAAGTAATTGAATGGAACATAAATAGTAAAATTACAATTATTATTTTGGTAACATGATAATATTGTCAAGCTAAACATTTTTCTAGCCTTTTAAATCATCATAGTCCTGGACACATTTTAATTGACACACATCCCTTCATTGTAACATTAGGAAGTTCAATAGATTTAGGAAAATCGGGTAAAATGTGTGGGCTGCTAAATGGTTTGCATCCTACTTTTTCTCACGTTGAACAAAAATTTACATAAATTTAACAAGAATATATATATATATATATATATATATATATATATATATATATTTTGTATATTTAATTATTATTCTTTTTTTTTATATACAATTTAATTATTATTCTTAATCATGGAAGAGTCAAAATCCATAAGCATCTTTCCACATTTGAACTAGGATAGTCAAATTCAAAAATTAATAATAGGTTTATCACTCTGACAATTAGTTTAAATTGACCCGTTATACCATGATAACGATATGTTAATGATGAGGACAAATTAGGAAACAAGACAAGGTTATATGAGTACATTATATTGGAGCTTTTAATAACCATTAGTACGTAGTAATACATTATATATAAACATTTTAATATCAACATGGATCTATACTGATTAGTAGTTTTATAGGTCAACCATTTGGGTCCATAAATCCATTTATCTAGTAGAAATGTAGAAATCGAGAGTTTTTTTTCGTATTTTATTTAACACTCGAATTAAAGGGACTTTTTTTTTTAAGTTTATCCTTTTCAAATTGGTTTTTATTCACCATTTATGTAAGAGAAGATAAAAATTATCATGACACAAAGCTCATATATATTCTAGGACAACAACCGTGTATGTCTCAAAACATATGCCTTCAATTTTAATTATGTCGGTTTAATCTAAGACGGTCTAAGTAACTCTATACAAACACTGATACGAAAATTGAAAGTTCAAATAGTTTCTTTCTAGCACAATTAAATTAAATAAAATTAAGATCGAGTTGTTTACTTTTTACTTTTCCTTAATTATGTATGATAAAATTGTACATTTGCAAAATTATTTGCATTCTACAAATAATGACATCTTTGATTTCTCTATCATTATTTTTAATGAAGAACGTGATGATATATAGTTATGTACTAAGGGCATGTTCACATTTACTTAATTTTAGTCCAGCTTCAATCAGTTCAGTCAGCTCCAATCAGTTCAGTTTAGCTCCTAATTTCCCTCTCTCGTAAAATATTCAGTTCACTTCACTTCACTTCAACTCCAATCACTTCAGTTCAACTCGGTTCAATAAATGTGAACATACCCTAAATTGATCATTTGAAGTTAAAAGACGATATAGACAATTGACACTTCACCATATCTCTTTTTTTTAAAAAAAAAAATCGATAGCAGCCTGCCATATCAATTGCACTGAATTTTCAACGTGTGAAATAAATGTAAGAATACAATTTGATATAAAATAAACTTATCTTTAGTTTAAGTATTTTTTTTAGTCAATTAACAAGGCGTTGATTAGCTAAAGCTAAGCTTTGTCCTAGACTCCTAAGCCATAATGCCAATTATCAGATTTTAGTCTCAACGTAAAGATTATATATCATGTTATACCTTGGTTAAGGGCGGTTATAAGAATTTTGAAAAGAAACTATTAACACTTATTAATTAACAACGACAACGTCGTGATTATGTCATAAATTTCTAAATTTATGCAATTATTAGAAAATATATTCAATGCTTATAAGCAACTCTAAATATCATAATAACATATTTTTTAAAAAAAAATTGCATTATAGGTCCGATACTTCACAATAATAACAAGATCGAGGTCGGAATATATACTATTAAATTATTTGATATATACTTCATTTAATATTGAGCAAAAAAACAAAATAACTAACCAGTATCAAAGTTGGCAATAATAGTGTCTTCACCAAATCTTGCCTTCTCCCAGATTGAAAAAGGGGGCACTTCTCCATCATCTTCGAGCCCTAAGAAATCCCATGATCGAGTTGTGTGCAATTTTCTTCCCTCATTTGGAAATACAGAGATCACATTTGGATGCTCTTAATCCCATTTTTTATTATATTAACAAATTATTATTTTGCATTTTCATAATAAAATAATAAAAATAAAAAATAAAAAATAAAAAAAGTATTACAAAAAAAGTGCAAGTGTGTTGTTACATACTTGCAATTTCTAATGCTCGTTCTTCCTCGAGAACAGCTGCAAAGCCATTGATATGTTTTGTGTAGGAGTAGAATATTGCATCCTCGGCGTCACTGCGACTGTGTTAGTAAAAAAAATTCGTGGGGTGTTAGTTATTGCATCGGTATTAACTGACAAGTAATTATACATGGATATTTTAACTGACAGACATTATATATACATGAAATTAACGAGTAATGTGTTATAACGAGATTAACGACTACCAAAATCGGATTTAGTACCTTCCAAGGTAAGATCCCAAGAGCTCATAATGTGATTCTTTGACTTGATGCAAATCAAATTCAGAAACTTCTTGTCCATGTGAATGAGCTCCCATGTACACTACATAGGACTAAATAATGATGTACAAAGAAAAGTATGCTGAATTGGTTAGTAAAGTTGAACAAAAAACAAGAGATTTTTAGACATTAATTAAGGAAATAGTTTGTAATTATGGGTTTAATTACCTTCTTAGCAAAAGTAGGTTGTTCGTTCAGTGTAAATAGGAGGATGAGGAGAAGTAAGAAGAGTGAAGCAGAAAGCCTCATTGGTAGTTTTTATTTTTAGTAAGATGCCCTGTTTTGATTTGGTGGTTTCTTCAAATAGAAAGAGGTTTAATATTGCCTTTGTTTTGGAGTAGGAAGTTGCTTGTGATGTGGGGATATATTTATAGAGGACAAGAGGTTGTTTTTTTTAAGTTGGTGATAATTTATAAAAAAATAAAAATAAATAAATAAATAAATAAAAAGGTTAATTTATAAATATATAATACTTCCTCTATCCCAATTTACTTGCAACATTTTGATTGAACACGCTTGTCGATGTGCATGTTTCACCGTCGATGTCTTTTATTTTATATTTATAAAAGTTATAAAAAAATTTATATTAAAAAACTATACATTAAAATAGATCCAACAACATTTTACATGATTACATTGACTTTTATATAATAGGTAAAAAAGATAATCAAAGTGAGAATGTGAATAGGGAAAAAAGTCAAAACGTTGCAAATAATTTGGATAAAGGGAGTATACTAAATCATGATTTAGCTTAATTTAATGTTTTAATGTAAACTTTGAGGGTGGTAAGTCAATCTCTAGTTTCAACGAATTCAACATGTACACCTAGCAAATAGACTCTACTTGACAAAAAAATTGTATATTTGAAATTGGACTTTTTTTATTTTTAACACGATTTGACATGGCTATGTTTGGTAATTGTCTTTTGATCGAAATTTTCATTTGTTTATATCTTTTGATAGTGTGATCAAATAATGAAGAAAACAAATGTTTGGTAAATGGTTTTCCACTTAGCTAAACAAAATTGATACATTAACTTTTCAATGATCAATAAACAATGAGTTATTCTAATTACAAATTTTGCTATTTATTTAATTATTATGACTGTTTAAACTTATAAGTCTAATCCTTATAGTTTTGATAGGCTGATATATAGTACACAATTACTATTACAGAGTAATTAATGTATGCCAAAAGGTTGTTAGGTCGGCTTTTAATGGTGATTTAGAGTGAACAACTTAATTTTATTTGTGTGAGCGCTCATAATATTTCTATTAAGTATATGAATTGGTCAATTAAAGTAGCTTATTTACGCTAGTAATATTTTAGCAAGACTCTGGTTTTCTTATGAGCAAAATAACAAACAGTATACGGAAAATTTGTGAGAAAAAACCTTTCTTATTTTTTTAGTGGCTTAATTATGAGAAAAGATAAAAAGGTGGCAAAATGGGACAATATTTATAAAAAATGTGAGATGGGACCTTGACAAAATTCGACTCTTAACCAAATTTTTCCACCGTTGACTATCACGTACCACACATGGCAGTAAAAAAACCTTCGTGTCTCTCCTCCTTTCCCTTCACCATGGCACCGTCATTCTCTCTGCTCTTTCCCCTCATCACCCGACCCCGTCCATCACAACAACCATCGAAACCCTAAATTAAAACACTACCACCTAAAAGTTAAACCACGAACTACCTAGTCATCTCCATACGACACCACCAACAAAAGCTTCACCACCCTCGAAAACCCTCCCACCCATCTAAAAACCCCAAAACAAAACCATCCTAGATTCCTAGCCATCTACTAGCGACAACAACCAATATTAAGGGTGGGGTGATGGTTTTTTTAGGGGTTCATAGGTGGGTGGGTCACACTAGGGTGGGGTTTTCTTTAGGAGCTCAGAGAGGGGGTGGCTGACGAGGCAGTGGTGGGATAACATTTGGGTGGTTACAAATCTTACAATGGAGGGGATGACGAGGGAAAGAGGAGGAGAGAGAACAATAGTGCCATGGTCGTCGGGAAGGAGGAGAGAGAAAAAAAGGTTTTTAATGTCACGTGCGTGGCACATGACAAACAGCGCTGGAATATTTTGTTCAATGGCCAGATTCTGTTCAAAGGTCTCATACAATTCAAAACTCAAACAAGATTTTTAAAAACTTGTTGGAGGTCAATCTAATCTACACAGTAATAATTCTTGTCAAACTTACATCAAACAAACTAAACTCAGCAGATTTTTTGCAACCCTAGTATCTACTATCAAAACCCACACCACCCATCTCAACCCACTTTCATTTTCCTTGATTAAAGAGTTTTCCCAGTCATTTTCAGCATGTTATTCTCCGTACTACACTTGCACAATATATTACTTCATTTCACGAACGGTGTGGTAATTTGTCACAATCACGCAAGTACACAACAACCTCATGCAAATCAGATCGAGTAAGTATAAACGCGCCTGTGACATTTGTACAGCAGAAAAGAAATAATTGAAACACGACAAACACTTGAAAAGGACTGGAAAACATTTTCTGTAGTCAATTGGTTATCTATTTTTTTTTTTTCAAAGTTTTCCTCAATTGGGTCCAACAATTCTCTATATGTACAAATTACTCCCAAAAAAAAGTCAAATCCAATGCACAGATGCCTCTCCAAGCTTTAAAATACCTCAGGACAACAGTAAGGGGTCAAACATTGAAAGACTACCAATGGATTGAAGAAAGGAGATGATTGGAGGTATACTAGCCTGAAAAGAATCCATCAACAGGTGTGACACACCCTCAAATCAGCAAAAATCCACGGGCAACTCTCAGGAGAAACAAATTGGCAGCGAGCTCAGCCTCTTTTCAGCTATGATGTTAGACATTGCTTCTCAAAATTGGATTGGCACTTGCACTTAAGCCGCTATAGGGGCAGCCGTCGTTGATGCCAATGGCAGATTGTCATCCTTCACTTCAGGCTTCTCTTTGGCACGGTTAAAGTCATCTAAGCTACGAAACTCCTCTCTAAGCAGCCTCTCCAACTCCGGATTCTTTTTATAGGGTTCTTTGCCATCACGGACTTCCCGGTAATGGTGGAATGCCCTGACACATGGCAAAACAAGGTAACACATTAACAAGTTTGATCAGGTTCTTAAGGCTCCCATTTAGTCTTAACTTTAGATTAATAATAAAAAATTGTACAACTAAAACATGCAGTGGGTTGTATGAAGATTCAATCAATGCTTCATGCATGTTATTATTGGAAAACAACTGGATATCTAAATTCATTTTCATTGCAGCACTTTTACATCCCTAAATAAAACAGTATCAATAATAGTTAACAAAAATCCACAAAGAACAAAAGATATAAACCTAGTGACACCAAAAGCTACCAATACTAATGAAATTCTCAAGGATTAGTTCCCTAGTGAAATTTTTTTTATTTTAACTCCGTTTTTTAAGTTAACACGTTCTTTAGTCACGTTTGTCAATGCACAAATTCAACTATTTATATCTTTAATTACCGATACGCACAAATTATAAGAAGTTGATATTTTGAAAATAAATACCGTGACAGATCTAATAAGATCTCACATGACTATATTTTCATTATGTATAAATCACAAAACACGGTCAAAGGAAAGTGTGTGAATGTCAAAATGTGTCAACTAAAAAAACGGAGGAAGTACTATTCTTGAACAAGGGCCGTCAAGTAAAAATGTACAAGCACGGATCTTCTTCACCATACTGTGCTTGGAACAAAAAACACCAATCACAGCCTCTATATCCGACGATAAACATTAAAGTTAAGTAGCAAAATAACTAAACATACCAGTATTTTTCAAGACCATAAAGATTGCCTTTCTTGTAAAAATTCAGAGTAAGCTGCTCAAAATCCCCATAAAGTTCTTCGCTGAATTTCTTCTCCAACCCATAACTGGAATTAGAAAAAAGGTCAAAACACACATTATGTAGTCCAAACCGGTTCCTTTTTTATACCATCAAGAACACTATGTAAAGTTGGAAACACACATGATCAAGGATGCATATTGGCAAGTAAACTGCTGCTAATAGATTATTATTATCAATCATATTTTAAGTAGAATTGAATTCCTGCATTTGGGAATGGGAGATGATAGTTCAGCATACCTATAGAACCTGAACAAACATTCCAGTCCATAATTGTAATTAGCAGCCGCATCCTCCAGAGCAAATTTCCGGAAGTCATTGTACATTGAGGGAACAAATGTATCTCTGAGGAAATATGACCAAAATCTATACAGAGTATTCATTTCCTGCAGAAAAGAATGTTAGACATGCATATATATGTGCATACAGATTGCCACAAGCCCACAACAATAAAATTTTGAAAACTTATATTCCATATGTTGATAATATGATATATGTGACTTGGCAACGATGATATATTGCAAGATATATGAGGCAATAACCTAAAAAAGACATCATGAGCAAGCATTTAAATTCTAGAACTTGTCCATATAAAATTATAGTGCATTCAACAGTAAATAATAAATGCAATGCAAAAGAGGGGAAAGATATGTTTAGTGAATTATAGAAGCCTCACCTCGCTGCACCCAATTCCTAACTTCTTTCGGTCATTTAAGCACCGCTTTTGATACTTCCGGTACCTAGGTGAACCAGCAGAGTATGAAGTAAATACACAAATTCATCAGCCAAAACTTCACAACAATCAGCAAGTTTTTTGCAATGCCTTCACATTCCTATGGAAACAGATACAGCTAGATGCTACACATGCCCAGAAAATTTAAACAGGAATTTGATCCGACCAAAATAAAATGAATATAACAAAGAAATTAGGTTATAATGCATGGACGAAATACAGAGCATAGCTTACTTCTGCTGTTCAAAGCCATTTTCCTGTAATAACTGGTGACTTCGATGCTGAAACTGAGGAATGGATTTTGGCAAGGAGCCAACCGGAGGGCTACTTGCTGCGAAATTTCCATGTGGCGAGCCACTCAATTTTGAAGATCTGAGACTGGCAAAAAATACAGATCCAAAAACTTAGTCATATAGCTTTTATGAGCGGATAAGAGTTAAAAACATTAGCCGACGGTTGGTACAGACAGAATATCAACCAAACCCATAAAGCTTGTACATACCACTCAATGCCCTAAACATACCTATGAGCTTCAGGTGGAGTAGAACTGAAAAAAAATCCGACCGAATTACTTGGAGGACTTTCTGATACAACTCCAAAGGAGTTGCGACCTCCTCCATGGTTCTTGGGATTATTTGAGAAAAATCTTTGTCTGTGGCTTGATTGCTGTTTAGCAGACCCTTTGCTTTGCTTACTTCTGTTAACATGACTTCCAATCTCATCACAACCTTGACCACCAGAAGATTTTTCAACAGACCTGATGTTCACTACACCAGTTCGAATATTA